CGTGGGAGGGGCCAGGACGCCGGTTCCTCCGGGGCTGGGCGTGCAGCGCTGGGCACCGCTATCGGATTTGGGAGGTTCGCGGTAACGGGGACACCCCGCTTCATCCCCTCCGCCGGGGGGACACAGACGAGGCGGGGAGGGCTTGGTCTTGGGCTGGGATGCGGCGATGGGACGGTGGTGGCTGTGCGGGGGCGACGCGGGATGGGAGGGGACAGGGGACGCGGAGATGGGAATGGGGGGGGCACGGGGACGGACAGGCTGAGGGAGGTGGGACACGGGGACAACAGTGAGCCTGGGATGGCACTGTGGGAACGTGAGGGTGGCTGGGACACGGGGATAGGTGCGGTGTGGGGTCAGTGGTACCCGGGTATGTAGGGGTGTAGGGATGGTGGGACGTGGGGACAGCTGTATGCCGGGATATGGGATAGCCACAGCTCGGGACAGGAGCACAGTGATACCCTGGGATGGCACACTTGGGATGGAGGGTTGGTTGGGACACGGGGACAGCAGAGACACGCGGGACAGCTGCGCCCAGGTGTGGGGACAACCACAGTCAGGGGGCTCGAGGTGGCTGGGTTTGGGGGACAGCCATCCTTGGGGATGCGAGGAGAGTCAGGACATGAGGATTACCACATCCTGGGAAAGTGGGAGACTACTGGGATAAGGGGACAGCCCTGGTTGGGGACACACGGACAACGCTATTCCGGAATGCTGTGCACGGGGACAGCCGTGAAACGGGGACGTTGTCACTCCCTCCTCTCTCTGTCCCCAGGCCTCACAGTGATCCTTGTCCCATCCCTGCTCCCCCCAGCCACCCACCCCGCCTCGGAGACCCCACGGGACGATGAACGTGCTGGCTCCGGTCCGCAGGGACCGGGTCATCGCCGACCTGCCCCCGGTGAGCAGAGGGGACACAACGGCCCGGGGGCGGCCTCGCCGAGCCCCGTGGTCACACCGGTGCCCCCCTTTGTCCCCCCGCAGTGTTTTCGGAAGGAGGCCGCCCTGCAAACCCGCCCCGCCTTCCACCCCACAGTGGCCAGCGCCTGCCAGGAGCAGCGGACGGGCACGGTGGGGTGAGTCCGGGGTGGTTTGGGGTCCCCACCGCGGGGCTGGAAGGGGGTGAGGACGAGGGAGCCCACGGTCCCGCCGGCCACGGGTGGGGGTCCCCGGCGTGGGCGCCGCGTGGCTGCCGGCGCTGCCCGTGTGCCGAGCCCTGCGTCACGATCCTGGAATGCGGCGCGGGGGGAACACGGGGTGGGGGAACGCGGGGGTCTGGTCTCCGCTGCGGCGGGAGAGCCGGGACGCAGGGAGCTGCGGACACGGGGGGGGGCTGTGGGGTGATGCCTCCCCACCCCATGAGCCCCTCTGCCCCCAGTGACCAGTCGGGGGACGCAGGGGGGGAGCCCCTCCCGCCCCGCCCTGCTGAGCCGTGCGTCCCCCCTCTCTGCAGATTCAAGATCTCCAAGATCATCGTGGTGGGCGACCTGTCGGTGGGGAAGACCTGCCTAATCAACCGGTAACAGGACCCCCGGAGAGGGGAGGGAGGAGGGGGGAAAGGGGAAGCGACCCCCCCTCCCCCAAAGGGCGGCAGCGCCTTGGGCTGAGTCCAGCTCTGGCCGGACTCTGGTGCTGAGCATCCCCAGGATGGGGGGGCACTGAGGCCCCAGGGGTTGGAGTGGGGAGTTGGGGGCTGCTGACCCGCCCTCACTCCCACCCCAGCTTTTGCAAGGACACATTCGACAAGAACTACAAGGCGACCATCGGGGTGGATTTCGAGATGGAGCGATTTGAGGTGCTGGGGGTGCCCTTCAGCCTTCAGCTGTGAGTAGGCACTGGCCCAGACCCCTCCCCAGACACCCCTTTAGGCCCCCCTCACCTCCCACACCCCCCCAGGTGGGACACGGCCGGCCAGGAGCGCTTCAAGTGCATCGCCTCCACCTACTACCGGGGAGCACAAGGTGAGGTGCCCACCCTGTCTGACCTCTCTGTCACACTGCCCCTGTCCCCATCTCACCCCTCCTTCCCACCCCAGCCATTGTGATCGTCTTCGATGTCAACGATGTGGCGTCCCTGGAGCACACACGGTAGGTGACACGTGGCTGAAGGGCCCAGATGGGACTGGGAACGAGCATGAGGGGGCTCTGAGGCTGGATGCAGAGGGAGGACCTGGGCAGGGGCCACAGGACTGCTGGCAACACTGTGCTGTGGTGTGCCAGCAAGCTTGGCCACCGGCTGGTGACAGTGGCCCCCACAGGCAGTGGTTGGCTGACGCTCTGAAGGAGAACGACCCCTCCAACGTGATCCTCTTCTTGGTGGGCTCCAAGAAGGATCTGAGTGTGAGTGTGTCCCCCTCCCTGTGGGCAAACTGCATCCTGGCTCAGCAGGGCTGTCCCCTTCACCCGCTCCCCCCGGCTCTGTTGGCAGACACCGGCACAGTACAGCCTGATGGAGAAGGACGCTCTCAAGGTGGCCCAGGAGATGCAGGCAGAGTACTGGGCTGTCTCCTCGCTCACTGGTGGGTCCCAGGACGAGTGGGGGGAATGCAGATACCAGTGTCCAGCCGGATGAGGGGGCATTCAGGGGGTCTCATCCTGTGGGGCAGGGGAGAACGTGCGGGATTTCTTCTTCCGTGTGGCGGCCCTGACCTTTGAGAGCAGCGTGCTGGCCGAGCTGGAGCGCAGCCACACCCGCAGGATCGGCGACACCGTGCGTGAGTACTCCTGGCTGGCCCCGAGTGGGTGCCCCCCCTTATCCTCTACACACCCACTCACCCTCCTTTCTCTGTCCTGCAGGGATCAGCAGCAACGAGAGCGACCTGTACCTGTCAACACCCCGCAAGAAACCCAAGTGCTGCCAGTGAGGGGGCACCCCCTGCGCCCGCCATGCTCACACCTATGGACCAAAGAGGGGCGACCCTGGCCGGCCCCAAGGAGCCGTCCCTGCCACTCCCCAGCCCCCCTGGCCCCTCGCCTGCCCAGGCACCCCTGGCCAGGGTGGGCAGGAGCACCCATGCGGCTCCTGTAGCTATGCAAACCCAGGTACTGCTCACAGAGGGAGATGCCCTTTTGTCTTAATAAAATGGTTTTTTATGCTTTTTAAGAAAAGTGTGGGGCAGAGGGCTGGGGCTGCAGCACCCAGACTCATGGGCAGGTGGGAGGATGGAGGCAGGGAGGATGGATGGCTGCCACCGAGGAGGAGTTCCATCTCTAGTGGATGTCTGGGGCATCCGGCCCTGCAGAGCCAGCAGCCCTGCACTCCTTGGGGGGCTGCAGGGAACACATAAGGTGCCAGCCCCCCGTCAGTCAGTCCCAGCCGAACTGGTGGTGGTCGAAGCGGGGCTGCAGGCGGGGGGGGACACAGTGGGAGCACTTGTAGTGCTCCTGGATCCACCGCCCGCCCTCGCTGTCCTCGATGCAGATGGCAGCAACACCTGCGGGGACACGGAGGGGCTCAGCACCAGGGTGTGAGGATGGTGGTCCCACTGCACCAAAAGGTGCCTTGGTGCCCCCAGTCTTACCTGCCACGACCCCCCCCAGCCGCTCCACCAGCCCGATGGCCGCTCGCATGGTGCCCCCAGTTTCAACCCACTGGTCCACGAGAAGGATGCGCAGACCTGGAGGGGGCAGAGGCTGTGGATAAGTGCCCAGTGCCCAGGCTGGCAGCCCCCCCCATAATGGGAGCACTCACCTGGTGAGATGGCATCAGTGCGGACTTCCATCACCTTCTCCCGGCCCGAGTAGTCGGTGTAGGGCTGTGCCACTGTCTGCACGCAGAGGTGCCCGGCTTTGCGGATGGCCAGGAAGCCTTTCTGCAGCACGGCCGCGACGGCAGCACCTGGGGGTGGGCATGGCACCATCAGGCTCCACGCAGGGGACAGGGGATGGGGGGGGACCCTGCGCTCGCTCGTGTCCCCGCTCACCCAGGATGAAGCCCATGGCATCGATGCCAGCCACCATGTCGATGGGATCTCCCTGGAAGGGCTGCAGCAGGTCGGCCACGCAGTCCTGCAAGCCCTGGGGGGAGATCAGAGGTGCTGGGTGCCCACAGCCCACCATGGGCACCTGCAGCCCTGGCGCCGGTGCTCGTGGGCAGGGCTGGGTGCCCCGGCAGCCATGCAGAGGTGCAGCCCACCCTGGCACCCCCGCGGGGGCCACCCACCCCGGGCACTGGGTACTTGCGGGTGGCAGTAGAGCCGGGAGGGGTCCAGCCAGGCGTAGTTGGGACCCTTGACGTTGGGGGCCATGAGCGCCAGGTACCAGCCCTTCTCCCGGGCAGCAGGGACATGACACAGGTCCATGTGTGGGGACTGCAGGCGCTGCGAGCACTGAGCACGTAATGGGGGTGAGACCCCCTACCTGCAGCCCCCGCAGGGCTCCCTGTGGCATGTTGTCCCCCACCCTCCCCACCCACGCTCACACGTGGGCACCCTGAGGGCCCAGTGTGCCTTTTTCAGCTCCGTACCTGGGTGCTGGTGGCGAGGCTGAGCCGAGCGGGACCGTCACAGACAGCGACAGCTGAGCAGGGGCAGCCCCTGCAGCACTGGGCCCCCGCCAGCGCCCTCGGCCAGCTGGGCCCTGGGCTGCTGCCAGGCGGGAGCCCTTCCCATGGGCTGGGGATGTGTCCCAGCCAGGCAGTGTTGTGGTGGGGAGCACCAGGGTTGGGTGTTTGCACCCCACAGGAGTGTCCCCAGCACTGGCCGCCTGTGCCAGCGGTGACAGGGCAGGGTGTGGGTGGCACAGTGCTCGAGGTACCCCGTGGGTGCAAGGGTCAGTGAGCCAGGGTGATGCTCAGGGTGCTGCCTCTGCGCTCCCCTGCACTCCTGAGGGATCTCAGTGAGCGCAGGGACTTTCTGAGACCACCATTTTGGGGTGTCCAGGCACCGTCCTCCCTGGCTGAACGCTGGCTCCCGCAGCATCCCAGCTTGCCAGGGCTGTGTCTGGATTGTCAATGGGCTCCAAGGCCTGGAGCTGGCCAAGAGGGACAGACCTGGCAGCGTGCTGGGAATGCCGGTGCCTTGTGGGCTGCCAGCCCGGCTGGGCATGAGGCACTGGGCTGTCCCGTGAAAGGAACCGTGGGATGGGATGCAGGGCCACAGGGATGGGATGTGGGGATGCCATAAGCATTCATGGGATGGGATGTGGAGAGCATCCGCGGGATCAGGCATGGGGACGCGAAGAGCATCTATGGGCTGGGATACAGGGCTGCAGGAAACATCCATGGAATGGGACGTAGGGATGCAGGGAGAGCATCGTTCTCCTGTCGGGGCCGCTCCGGGGCCGGGGGCTGTGCAGGGGCGGGTGCGTCACGGGGCGGGGGTTTGGGGACGGCTCGTTAGAGGCCCCGGCACATCACCCCACCGGCTGCCACAGCAACGGGGCCGGTCCCACCGGGAGGGGTGACCCCTTCCCCGCGGGCTGCCGGCGCGGGACGTGTCGCGGCTGCGGGAGCGGCTCCGGCACCGCGGCTCTGCGGGACCCTCCGCACGGTGCCGGGCCGTGCCAAGCCGTGCCGGGCCGCCCCGCGTGGGCGGGCTGCGCGACTCTATAAGGCGGCCCCACGGCGGCGAGCGGCGCGGTGCCATGTGCGCCCCGGGGCTGCTCTGCCGCCTCCGCCTCCTCCTCCTCCTTCTCCTCCTCCCGCTGGCAGCCGCCCCCGGAGCGGCCCCGCCGGGACGGCCCCGCGCCCGCCGCGGGCTCACCTACCCCGGGACTCTGTGGTGCGGCGCGGGCAGCAACGCGGATACCTACGAAGAGCTGGGTAAGGGTGGCGGGGCAGCTGCTACCTGTATCTTCCCATCCCATCCCACCTCGTTCCAACCCACCCCATCTCCTCCCTTCCCATCCCATCCCATCCTATCCCATCCCATCCCATCCCATCCCATCCCATCTCTTCCTATTCAATTCCATCCTATTCCACTCCCTTTCTTTCCTTCCCATCCTATCTT